TCCCATATAATTTAAGTATAATGAATTTAATCAAAGACGGGTTTTGTGGAGATTGTAGTGATTTCAATAATTCAATTCATAAGTCGATTGAAGCTAGACCACCATGGAAAACTTGGAAGCATGAGACCGATAGATCATGGGTTCGAATATTGCGGAGTGAGATCGTAGATGCGCATTGCTGGGCAGTATCACAATAGGATGGAACGGCCATCTAGTGCTTCCAAGTTTTCCATGGTGGTCTAGCTTCAATTAACTCATGAATTGAAGTATAAGGAATTTAAGTTATTGGAAATTACATTCTTTTCTCTAGTCATAGCTTGAAAATAGAATCTTCATTTAAATTAACAGGAATTAACATTAACTACTTAATAAGAATATTTTCAATATAAAGTTTTAAAATTGTTATTGTTGAAGAAAAACTTCTCTAGACATATTTGCAAACAATAGATGGTTGTGTAAATAAATGATTTGAATCCTTATCATTATGATCACACTTTATTTTCTAGTTAATGATAAAAATCCCTTCATTTTTAGCATAATAGTGAAAAATATAGTTGACCCTTAATAATGTGCTTGTTGAACAATGACTGAGATGAATCTTTGAAGTTTTATTGAGAAATGGTTAGTGATGTTCACTCATCTCGGTAGGGAGTCAGTTACTCGTTGATGACGTTGGATAATTAGCGTGCCATGTTGAGGACTGAATGAAGTAATTAGAAAGAAATTAACCCTTATACTCCAGCTCTACGATTCAAACTTAATGAGCATGATGAGAGGACTGAACGGCCTGGGTTCGAGTCCGGATATGTTTGGGTTTATAATCCTTTGGTGTCTCATGCTAGAGCAAGAAATCCATCCACTGCTACACAGTACTCAACATTTTCTTAATTCTCAACAAGTGGACAAGTAAGTCAATTGCTTATAGCAAATATTTGATATTTATTATATCCTACTAAAGTAGAAAAACTTTTTTATGTTTCACAGAATTTTGTAATCTGTTTTATTAGACTATAAACCATTCTTACAAGTTAATAAGAAATAGGTATCTTAATTTGGGTTTAGGTTTAAACGCAATTCAAATTTTTATTTTGAAAGCCTTTGTATGTACCAAACATGTTATACAGTACAAAACTGCTTGGAAATTTTTACACTTGAAGATTGTGACATAACGAACGTTCAATAAAGCGTTCATTATAAATTTGAATATTTTGAGTTTAAATGTAAATTAAAGATGATTTTTTATACAATTTTGTGTATTTTGTTCTCAGGACTCTTAACTATTACCATATTTATGATATTGAATGAAGTATTTATTATGATCATTAAATTTTGACTTTTGGTCAATTTCTATGGAATATTTCCATTGAGAATTATAAATATCCACATTTTTCAAACCTAATTCATTATGAAAACATTATTTGTTATCATACATTTACATTGATATTTATTCCACAATATAAATTATATTCACATTTATATTAACAAAAAGATAATCTAGAAGCTGCATTGTGTAAACGGTTATTCATTATTGGTCTTGAATTTATTCTTTGAATTAACCTATTTTATTGTATCCTGTTTACATCTGTAAATTTACTAGAACAAATACTCAAGATTTGCATTGTTATTTTCTCATTTAATTATACGTGATAATTATCAATAACATCTTTTATTTGATAATCATTATGGGAAACAATACATATTAGCGTGATCTAAATACTTTATAAGCATTTTTAGTCTATTGTATTATCAATTAAAGTACACATTTCTTTTTAAATGTATTTATTATCATTAAAATCTACAGGCTAATTCTAACATGTTTTATCAGTATAAAGGTATTGGTATAGAATGCATAGGTAAAATTAAATTTACTGAAAAAAAACAAGTTATCCGTTGTTAATAGATAGTGTATTACAATCTGAAAAATTAAAGAGTTCATAAAAATGTACTTATATTTAACACACTTCCCGGGTTAAATTCACTTTGTATTGTTTGTTTGAATCTTCCCATTGATGTTTAGGATTACAATTGATCAGTTACTTATTTGAATATGTGCATCCTGTACAGATAGCCTCGATACGGCCTTAATTCACAAACATTATAGGCAAAGATGAGTGATGATTGGCAGTGGAATCCAGGACGAGTGTTTTGTTAATGTGAAGATTCCAACAAACAATACAAAGTAAATTTAAACTTTACCCAATTACACAAGATAACAGCTATCACGACTCAGTAGCTGAGTGAATAACGCGATAGTTTTGAAGCAACCGATACAGGATTCGAGTCTCGGAGTAGACATCAACTCTTGGATGAAGACAGAGCCAGCTGACGAGTTCCAACTAGGACAAAACGCGCGACATGAATCCCACTCTTAGCCACCATCCATCTTTACTTCCCAAAATTAAAATCAAAGTTTATAGATTTTCAACAGATATTTGAAAATATAAACTATGAAGTACAGTGAATTACACTGTCAAGTCACTTGGTTTTATAGTTTTGTCAGATCAGTATACTATTACCTGTTATTTTATATACATAGACTTTATTTTTTTATTGAGATCATGAACCGATTAATCTTAGATCACCAACAAAAACCTGGGAGCACTAGACGGCTATTTCGTCTTATAGTGGGATTCAGTAGTGAGCATCCACGAACGCTTAACATCAATCAGTTCATGATCTCAATCAAAAACTCAATAATCTCCACAACCCCAATACTGATAATTAACTTGTGCTCACTAGTGACTAGCTTCGTGAGGGAATTCTTGGACTTTTAGTGAGGAGCCGTGATCAGTGGAGCTAATCCGTGTCGGGTAGAGACAGGTATCTACCTCAGTACAATGGAAGATAGTCGCGCAATTTCGTGGATTAGCTGATGTTAGACACTAACACCATTGGATGCTGGCCGGCTCATTTATTCAGTAGGTTAGGCGTTCGCTCGCGAGACTGAAGGCCCTGGGTTCGAATCCCGCGAGCGGGATCGTGGATGTGCACTGCTGAGGAGTCCCACAATAATATAAAACGGCCATCAAGTGTTTCCAGGTTTCCAACGGTGGCTTAATATCAGTCAGTTCATGATCTCAATCAAAAACTTAATAATCTCCACAACCCCAATACTGATAAATTTTAATTATTTGTAATATCAGGAAACTAGTACTGCTTTTAATAATCTATTTCAGCTAATTATGTTTCTCTTTCTCTTTAATTAGTATCGCCTTATGTTGGTCAAGAAATTTCATAATAAACTAAGATACATTATAAGATTTTAATAAAATTCACCGTGTTTTTTACAGGTTACTACCCTATCAACATAATATTACAGTAATAAAATTCTAGTTTATTACGTTTAATATATTTTTTTCTTTTATATCTCTAAAGAAAATCTGGTTTAAGTGTTTACTTACTGATTCAAATTCATTAGATTGAAAAAGTTTTGCTTTAGAAGTGAATTAGTTCTTAAGAGATCCTGATATAATCCAAAATAACAAATTAAGTGACTACTTTATAAGGGATAAACAGATTTTTGTTTTCAATTTTTTTTCTAATCCTTATGCTCTATACGTACAAAACAAGAAAACCAATCTTTATGTAATCAGGTTAAAAAGAAAAATGTTAAGATACTGTTGCCCTCACTTATTGAGATAATTTGAAATGTTCTGATGATTGGATTGGAGAATTATTTTTCTGTTTAAAACATCACATTTAAATATTTTTTCTATTTAATCAAAGGGAGAATTTTTTTTATTTGTATCAAACTTAAGTTTTTCTAATATTTCTCTTATGTTTATCTCAGATTCCTATTCCGGCTACTACTATGACGTCATAAGGCATTTTCTATTTAATGATATATAAAAGAAATCCAGAATGATCTGATGATTTTCCTAGTTTATTTGAACGTAGAATATGTTGATGGCAAACATGAACCTTTAGTTTAATACATAGATAAATATCTAATTCTTTGTATCGTAAGCACATTTAGATAACTTTTTCATTGATTGAATATTTTCTTTGGATGTGGATATTGGATAAATGAGAGGAATAAGTTGTATATATATATATATATATATATATATATATATATATATATATATATATATATATATATATATATATATATATATATAGGTCTTTCTCTGCCACTGAAGTGATGTATTAGAAGAAAAGCGAATTAAGTAGATCATAATAATCAAAAACCATAACATTGTTACAATATGAACTAGTGATTGTCCACTTATGTTTAGCCGTTAAAAATTATTGCTGTACAACATTATTAGTTAACGTTAATGAAAAGTATTCACATTGAAACAATGATTTCTGTCGGTAAAACAATCAAATGTCATTAAAAAAATTTTTTTAATAAACAAATAATTTTAATGATGATGAAGTCAGAAAATGACGTCGAGCGAACGTGTATTCCATGAAATCTAGAAGAATAGAGCTACAGCAAATTATAAAACAACACTAAATATTGTATTTAGAAAAAATACTGTCTATTATACGTTGAACTAATCAGTACTTGAAATTGTCCGTTTTTTTCTAATGAAATAGTTTGTATAGTTAAATTCCAAGGGTCCTTTAAAAGTTTGATACAAAACACTCCAAGTATTTGTAATATGTAAGACTGATTAAAAATACTATTATAAGATATAGTGGTTGGTAGACTGTTACATCTCATTCTACATGCAGACTATACTATAACTTTGTCTCTATTTTTCATACAAACTTGGAAGGTTTTCGCCGGTTAGATATATGTGAAAAATAGGTTACGTAATATAGAATGGTCCACTGATAGCTCAAAAGACTAATTAATAAATTCATGGATTATAATCCCTGTTTTACTGGTTTGGCGTCTTTTATGTAACGCATTCTTCCACCATTTTAATTAAAATACTCATTGATATATGAATATAAAATTTATAAAAAAAATATTTTGAAATTGTTTATTTAATACAAATGTTAGTTTCTGTTTAAAAAAAACCTTGTTCCATTATTGTGAAACATACCGTCCTTTAGCTGAAAGATTTTTAACTTCTTGTATGGATATCCGAAGTGATACATCTTTGTGTTGTTCATTTTCCAATTCCGGTTTAGCACGTCTGCGTAAACTGTTTATTTGTTTGTTTTTTAAAAAAGAAAATAGTTAAAAACAAAAGATAATGTTAACAATGAAAATTATTTATTAAATATAACAGAATTTTATTTTAGATTTACAAAATATTCTCTGAAGAAGTGGCTTACACTAAGTCACGAAACGTTAGAGAATCTAATTTTTCTACTCATTAGGATATTACAAATATATATTGATTTATGAAATAACATACAGTTTTCATCGAAAATCATTGTAAATACATTGTTATTAGTAGTCTGTTTTTCACTCATAAATCATAATATAACCTTGTAAAAAAACGATTATTGTTTACTTGAATCTTCTCAATGATGTTTAGGACTATAATTGATTAGTCTCTTATTGGCATATATGCATACTGTGCGTATTGCCTCGATATTGCTTTAATTCAGAAGCATTATGAGCAAAGGTGGATATCAAAAGATGAAAAAATAAATTATAGGAATCTGGTACCCCCAGTTTTAAACCCAACCCTAACAATAAACTTTTTATAAAAATTAGATAGTAATCACTCATGGAATTTGAATACTGTACAAGTTAAACGAACAATGTTTGATATAATAATCAGTATTTTGAAGATAAGTCAAATTTAATTACTAAAATGTTCTTCCAAATAAATAAATCAACTTTAATTTGATTAAAAGCAGCCGAAACAAAATAACAAATTGTAATTATTGACGAATTCAAACTAACTAATAAACATTACTAAATAATTTACATAAACAAAAGACATTCATTCAATTTAAATTATAAATAATAAATGAAGTGATAGACATTTATGACATATCAAAACAAAGAAATATTTTCAGAATGGGTTTTGTGGATATTTTAGAAATTTCACTGGTTGAAATCATGAGTTAATTGAAGCTAGACCACAATGGAAAACCTGGAAGCTCTGGCCCGACGTTTCGTCCTGGTATTGGACTCCTCAGTAGTGCGCATCCAAGACCCCGCCCCCCGCGAAATTCGAACGCAGGACCTATCAGTCTCGCGCGCGAAAGCTTAACCATTAGACCACTGAGCCAGTGGAGTTCAACAAGGTCTGTTATGAGATATCAGCTCACTGAAGATAATGGTGTACGGTGGTGCAATTTCGTCTATTAGTTTAAGTTAGACATTAACTCCGTTGGATGCCGGCTCAGTGGTTTAGTGGTTAAGCGATCGCACGCGAGACTGGTAGGTTTTGTGTTCGAATCTCGCGGGGGACATGATCGTGGATGCGCACTGCTGAGAAGCCCCACAATAGGACGAAACGGCCGTCCGGCGCTTCTAGGTTTTTGATGGTGGTCTAGCTTCAATCGACTCATGATTTCAACTATTGAAATGACTATTTTGTTTAAATAAACCAGTTATGACAGAAAGTAATCAAAATCAAATTAAAATTATTTCATTTATGTAGAATAATGTAAAGGAAAATGATAAAGTTTTGGAATAAAGAAAGAGATAAAATTAGGAAGTGTAATTGTAGTTTGACTAATTGCGGTCAATAATACATACATCATAATGATTTGGAATGTGATACTGAGAAACGATAGCTATGTAGAACATTAAATATCTAAAGCTTTAAGGTAAATTATGACAGAAATTGTCAAAACATAATTTAAATATAATTTCACACATATGGTTGGTTTATGCCTAAAGTTAAGGGAAGATGAATTGTATCTGGATACTATATGATCGTGACTACAATGTATTCTGTAAACTACGGGCGTCAGAAGGCTTCAAAAAGTAAACTATAACTTAATCTATTACCCGAATATACATATTTAAATTGTTCTGAATTTTAGTACATCGAAATGTCACCAGAAGAATAGGTTTTCTGTATATAGTTGGTGTTATATTCTACTACTGATGGTTGAATCAATCAAATTGGTTTGAAATCGGCATGTGTATGCTTGGTAACATAACACGAATGTTTAAATCTGGTTATTTTAAATTGGTTTAAACTTTTCAGAAAACATGCATATTTATTTCAGCCTTGAAGATGGACAACCCAAACGTCCAAATGAATAATTGTTTAGATAACAAACTAGATGTAATATTTATCATATTATAGCCCAAATCTAATTTGTAGTCTAACTTTTTAACTTCAATGTCAAGTGGATTCAACCTATTATAGGTCTTAGTAGCATTGAGAAGCCTTGATAAACTTGGATTTCAAACAAACAGGATCCCCGTGAAGATAGTATAAAAAGTGTAGAGAACAGACTTGAATGTAGTCTGAATTTTAAAAAAATATAATTAAAACAGTACTGATATTTCACAAAATTTAGTTGCACTTAAGGGAGTAATTCAAAAGATATCAAAATATCATTTACTTCTCATGGAAACTTTCCGAATGATTTTAAGATGATGACTCTCTGATTTTTACTTTTGATCGAATTTTCGTGAAAAAAATTCCCGAGCTCAGCTGACCTTTTCCAAGGAATTAATGCATGTACTTTAACTTCGTGATCATTAGTATCAACCCAAAAATCATTGAAGCTGTAGATTACGTGGCTTTGAAATAAGACTAAGCGTTGACAAACTAATTATTCACTGATATAAATTATGTAACTAGACAATACAAGAAACAACTACTTTATCGATTGATGAAATCAGATTTTTAATCCACAGAGAAAATCTTTAACTGAAATTTATTTTGTGTATGTGTGTTGATGTGAATCAAAGCATTTTCTTCTCAACTTTCCCTCTAACTATTCTAAATAAGGAATGTTGCTTTTAATGCTTCATAAATACTTTTGCATGTCTAGCAGCAAAGATAGATAGTGATTAGAATATTCTAGCCACCTTTGCTAAATATTTCAAATTTTCGCTTACATTAATTAAAAGTTGTAATTTTGTTAACCTATTATATCCTAAAGTTTTAAAACATAAAGAAAATAATGATTTATTTAAGAAAACCGTCTAGAAGTTTTCAGATGTTAAGTATAGCAATATATTTGGTTAAGCTGCCGGTGAACGGTCATCATATATACGCCTATTAATTTTAAAATTTTTCACTAAGTAGTATTTCTCTTTACATTATAACCAGGCTAAACAGGGGAAAATTCACTCTACAGTAAATACCAAAAACCTTGGTCATGTAGATTATTATAACGACCAATTAAAAGTATTACAATGTATTATTGAGGAACATTTTGCTTCATTCGAGATTTATTGTTGACATGCTTTTTTGAGTTATTGCAAGATATGAGTCTGGTTGAGTAAGACACACATGGAGAAACATTTTTAAATTATCTAATAATCGGTAATAGATATAATGAGAATACAGCTAAAGATAAAACTTGCTAAACACTCTGCATATCAACAAAACCTAATTAACTCGATTCCAGTGGTCGAAAAACAAAAATATTACTCTGTCACTCCAATCTGTTTTATTCACTATTTCATACCTGTTTAACTGTATTAAACCAGTGAATCACTCTTTTACTAGTGATTAAATAATAAGTAAAGTGGATTGTAAAAAAAAATTAAATTTTGCATAAAAAAGATTATTTGAGTTATCTGTGGAAATCCTATGAGAGAAAAATCGATGGAAACAGTGTTAAAACAAACAAATAATTGAGAAATCAATGAGGTCGTTTAACTTTATATTTATTTATTTTAATGATTTATGACTGAACTTAAATTCATGATTTAAAATAAAGCATCTACTTTAACGGGATTGTTTTATGGTTTTTTTATATCCATGAATGGTATAATTTTCTTTCGAAATAAGTGTTTATATATATATATATATATATATATATATATATAAATTATGTGTGAAGTTTTGGTGATTGCTGAACTTCACTGAAACCACGAAAAGATATAGGTTGTACAGCTATTAAAAACCTAGAATCATCGGACGACCGTTTCGTACTAGTATACAACTCCTCAGAAGTGTGCATTCATGACCCTAAAACTGCGAATCAAATCAAGGACCTCCAGGCTCATACACAAACTCCAGTCTCTAGACCATTATGTCACTGTCCAATAGTGCACAAGTTTAACTTCAATCAAGCCATGACCATTCTTTTTTGTCATCGATGAGTGCTTTCCCTGCATGCGATACGGATGTACTCCACTATTTACGGCTTCTTACATGAACTACGGAAATTTCCTCTTGAAGCTAACCTCTAATGAGCGCACGACTACTACTGAACACAACACTGAGATATCTCATGCTAAGGCGAGACGGCTGTCCAGTGCTTTCAGGATTTCATTGATTGTCTAAATAAAATGGGTTAGTGATTTTACATGAAATTACTTATTTCCTCAAATCCCACTCTGAGTTAACTTACCGAAACATAACAATCCAAATACAACGTTTATGTTTACATTTGTTGAGAAATTTAAATACTACTTTAAACTGCTATTTTGCTTCTACAAAAGATCATTCTGCAGAAAAATGTATTGGAAAAATACAGTAAGAAAAATAAATATATCGATCAGTTATATTGTTGATACAATAATCTATGTTAAAGTGTTTAATCGCTTGTCAGATTATTGATATAACAACCCACAATACATTTTTCAAGATAACAAATGTATATTTTGTATTTGTTTATTATTATATTCATTTCTTAAAACAATAATATGATTTGTTTAAAAATTTGTTTCAAGGATGCTTGCGTCACTGATTACTCATACATATATGAAACATACCATAGAAACATGTGCAAAATGCTTTATATTCTTATGAACGAATTACCAAATATACATTTACTTTTACTGACCTTCTTTAAATAAACAAACCTAACTACTATGCACTGTAAACATATAAATAAATACTGTTTACTAGTGGAAATAAAAGACATACCTTTTATTTAAACATATATCTGTAGTAAATAAAAATTAGTTTATTTTTGTATTTATATTGATGATTGAATTCATTTGATTAAAAAATCCACAATGTTGAATATTTTAAAGTTATATGTAACTGAATGGCTATTTGTGATGCTCTTAGTTACATTTATGAATAAAATGAATTCAAGT